GACTAGGGAGGTTTGGCCACGTGGAGCTCATCCCTATTGATCATGGCCTTTGCATGCCTGAGAACCTGGAAGACCCATACTTTTAGTGGATCCATTGACCTCAGGCTTCTATTCCTTTCTCTGAGGATGAGCTTGACTACATAAAAAAGCTAGACCCTTTTCATGATTCTGAGATGCTACGAATGAGCTGCCCATGATCCGAGAGGCATGTCTTCGAGTATTGGTCCTTTGCACCATATTCCTGCAAGAAGCGGCTGCATTTGGGCTGTCTTGCTGAGATTGGTGAGATGATGAGCAGGGATTTCCATGGGCTGGAGGAGGAACCAAATGAACTTGAGATTATATGCCTTGAAGCAAAAAGAATCTTTGCTGAGAGAGAGATTACATTCCCTGAGATCGATGAAGGTCATGAAGAATTTCAATTTGACATTGATTGTGAGGATTTAGAGATCGAAGGGTCATCTCAGGACAGTTCCTGGAGGGCAAATGGTCTGTCACTGCTATCCAAACTAGATGAGGAACCCAATGACAATGAAATTGAGACAGGAAAAGAGCCAGCCAAAGCAGAAAAAAGAATTGTCAAGCAAAATGGGAACTGGTTTGAAACTGCTTCGAGGCTGTCCCTGTCCTTAAATAAAATTAACTTAGCTGAGAGAAGCCAGCAGTACTTTGGGAAGGCAGAAAGCAAATATAGTTCGGGTTCCTCGTCTATGAACAGAAGAAGTGCAAATGAGAAGCTGCCTGCAACTACCAGCTTTGTCAAGGTAGCTGATATGGCAAGGCTAAAAAATTGGGCTATTTAGCAATGCATTTACTTTCACTTGTTTTTTTGCTTTCATCCTTGTCTGCTTTGTGTGCATAAGGTTGCATTACTCTCTCCTTCAATGTGTCAACCTCGACTTCAACAAAATTGATCTTTCCCAAGGGCAATGGTGCTAAGGCATTTGTCTGCTGATTATCTCAAACAAAATAAATTGGTAATGGATAAAAACTGAATGAGGCCCATATTTGCATCATTCTCATGTGCATTAGTTTCAATATGGCATGTTTTACATGCTATATACCATGTAAAAGCTGAATCAGAAATGTAAGCAATAAAGTCTAAGCAAAAGAAAAAAGGACAGGACATACTCACAAGTTAGTGTAAACTTTAATGTAATTGGAGCCTTTCAGCCCCAGCAGAGATGAGAGTGAAGTTAGCAGTTTCCTATTTAGGGTTCAGTTTTGGAAATGCTGATTGTCCTACTAAATCTAACGTATCTGACTAATATTGGTACCTGTTTTATATTAACCTTGCAGGTTTATCATTTGCTTGGAAATGCAACAACTGGGCCTTCTGATCCTTTTGCGGATACCAAATGTTGTATCTGCCATAGTATGGCAGATGAAAATCTTATGTTGCTTTGTGATCTCTGTGATTCGGCAGGTCATACTTACTGTGTTGGGTTGGGTTGTACTGTGCCCGAAGGTGATTGGTTTTGTCATGATTGCGCTGTTTCTAGGGCTGAACATGAGCAGAGTGAGATAGATGCTGACACTGATCAGCATATATCTGTAAACTGTGTGGTAATACCAACGGCTGAAAGTCCTGTTTCCATCTTCAGTATCATACAAGGATCAAATGATTCTACCTTTGAGAGACCTCTTCCAAGAGTCGGTTCCTCCATGAACCATTTTTCACTTCCTGTCATTCTTGAAGAGGAAAGTAGTGTTGAACATGGAGAAAATAGGGAAGGTAGAAGAGCACATCAGAATACTGCTGGGGAAGCAGCTGAATCATGTGCGAGAACTTTTTTTCTTCGTCGCAATGTGCACAGTCGAATACTAGTTCTACGTGAGAATTGGGAAGCACTGCGAAATGGATCCTTGAGATTCTCCTCTAATCCAGCTGAGCCTTGTGGAATTAGTGGTAAAAAGGGTGACACTGCTGCAGTGCCTCATGATAGGTCTGGTCAACCGAATTGTCCATCTTCTGTGAGAAAACAAACATCTCAGGATGGTACTCCTGGCTGCACCGGACACAAGAGAAAATCACATGACGTTGACAAGGCATGGAAAATGATGGATATTGCCAGGTCAATAAGATTGAATTGTGGAAGCTCCAGCAGTGTCCATCGGACATCAAAAACTCTTGCCAATAAAGGAGATTTTTCCAAACAATCATCTACCACAAACTCAAGTCTTTGCCTATCAAAAGACCCAGGACTCAGAACTGGGAATCTGGGAGGTAATGGAATGAAGAAGCAATGGATATCTTATTCCAAAAACACAGAAACACAGAGCCATAGATCTTGTAAGTTGGAAAATCAAAAGCAGAGTTGGTTCATGAATGGAGAATCAAATGGAGGATTTCCTCTTGGTAAGTATTCATCAGGAAATTACAAATCTACATCATCTAGGAAGGTCCAGACTGGAAATGATGTAACTGCCACTAATTCATTTGTGAAAAATTCACATCAAGTATCCAAAGAAAGTGGACATTGCTCGTTAAAAACTTTAGCTGAGCCTAGGCCAGGAGGTTTTGATACATTGGAATCTAAAGTGGAGCTGAGAGTGGCGTCCTCTTCTTTGGTAGATTATTCTGAAGAAAAAGTTGTAAGGAGAAAGGATGGTACAGAGACCAAGAAAAGACAAGTTGGTGATGCCCAAAATGAGATTCAATCTCTTGTCAAGCTTAACTTGAAACTGCTTAGTGGAGAGAAACGATTAGGTATGATCATCGAACCTCCACGAAATAATCATCATCCTCACTGATGGGAAGATACTGTCTGATTCATTTTGGAAGGCATTTTTTTTACTTCCAAATGGTAATCACAGATGTTTGAGTAACCATTCGTGATTGGTTTCTGTTGTTCTGCAAGAAAATAGATTCGTGCATATTCTTTTTCATTGTTATTGAGACTTAATATAACAAACGTTTTTGTGGAAACAATTACAGACAGTTCTCTACTTGCGTTCTCTAAAATTCTTAAAACAATCTATGCAATATTTTCCTATTCTTTTTGCATCTTTGCGTCCATTAAGATGGTATTGCTCATGAATAATCTGCAATTGATGATGCATTTTTCCTTAAAAAATATTAAGGAAATTGTATCAACATTTATTTGGTGAAAAAGTTGCCCAAATATTTCATGCGGAATGTTTATTTTCCTTCTATTTCTTTTCATGCTAGTATTTTCTAGTTTCTATTATTGTTTATGGGAGCGTCCTATATTTCTTGGAAAACTTTATCTCAGGTATATCGTACTATGCAGTATGAGTGACAGATCATTATGTCAATTATTGTCATAAACTTGTTCTTTTGCATTCAGTTAATGTGAAAAGCTGCAGCTCCCAAAGCAGAGCTTAATGTATAATCTACTGGTACTTGAACACCCAAATAGAATGTCTTATGTCTTGCTTTAGGCCGTTCTGACACTCAGATTGATCTGAATGATTATCTCATTGATTGTGCAGGAGTAGAAACATTCAAAGAAGTTGCTTGGCTTGCCACACACACAATCTTAGCTGCATGTGGTTTAGAACATCCAAAGCCTCGGATTCGCAACTCCCGAAGTCCAAGTCCAATATGTAGCCATACTGACCAAATTCATCAGCTGCATAGATCTACTCTTATGCCTAATTCTTGTCGAGGATGCTTTTATGTATTTGTAAAGGATGTTGTAAGTTCATTTATGATTGGTAAAGTTGGGAACCTTAGATAACGTTAAGGTCAAGTACATAGGGTTTTGCGAGGTGGAAAGTTAAGGGAAGATTGCTTTATTTTTTCCTATGTCTTTTGTTTTCCTTTAGCTCTTGAGCGTCCATATCTTTTTGTCTTTGGATAACTCCGAAGGCCTGTGGCGTGCTACGATGGGTTTAAAGCTTTGACCTTGTATATTTGGCTGTAAACTCCTGTAATACGCTAACAATGCAATATTTTTTATTGATGGCTAATGCCCTTTTAGTAATTAGGAGTGAATGCAGATTGTATTTTGGTTTTGATTGGTATATAGCCTAATGTACGTAGCACCCAGTATTTTGGTAGTTATTATGATATTATGAGCCCTTTTACTTGGTTATAATATGGATTGAAGTGAATCCAAAATTTGGAACACCACGGGGTATTATGCTAGTTGAGATTGGAAAGCATCGGTTTGTTTAGCATTATCAGTCTTTTCTTAAGACCACCTATATTTCATTTGGCAATCACAATGCTGTTTGTCTCTGATGATGGACGCTTGAATTGTAACCGGAACTGCTTTGTACTAGTTCTCAGACAATGACACCCTTTATGTAGGAATATTGCATTCAGAATACTATTTTTAGTTTCATTTGTTTATGAAAAATTTAGAATTTGCATGAAATAGAATAATCCGATTCGTTCGGTTCAAATGGAAGAAAGAAGAAGCTAATTATAAATGAATTCCAATTTGTTAATTACCACTAGCCAATTTTTGCTGAATCTTGTAGTACAAGCAATTTGGATAATGATGTATCTAGAGCAATCGCAATTAAGGAAAGAAATATTTTAAAAATTACATTAATCTTAACTAGATAAATAAAAAATAAAATTTAATCGACCAAAGAAAGAAAAGATATAAGATTAGAATGATAGATTCTAAATTTAATTTGTATTATTTTCAGTAGGATATATATTTTTTCTAGTACGATCGACAATAATTTTGAATAAACACAGCTTTTCAAAAACTTGTTTTGAGACTCGATCGTATAACACGATTTTAAATTTGATCTTAACATGTTTATTTTCAGAACATAAATACAAATTTGTTGTGTTAAATCAAATTATCTCAACATCAAGCAAAGAACGATCGAGGTTTATCTTGCATTACCAACATGCTAGGAGATAATCAGAGGGTGCATGGTGGGTAAACGAAAGAAATACCAAACTACCAAAAGAACCAGACCAAAGAACAAACCCCTTATGAATACAGGGGTGTAATTATCAAATTGTCCAATTTGTAAATGAGAAAACAAAGATCACATTTTTCAAGCCAACTATAGACAGTAACAGGCGATTCTATTTTATTGCATTTGTTTAAACATAATTCTCGTCCTACATTTCTTCCTTCTAAGGGAGAAGATTGCCAAAAGAGAAAACCTGAAAAGGAAGGTAGAACAAAAAGGAACAAATCAAATGTCATTTTCACCTTTTTCTCATCTCATATCTAGTTTCAACAATATTTACATATAAAACCTACAGTTACCTATTATGATAATCTCCTCCAAGGAAAATAGTTAAGTAGAGAATGTAAGAACCTGTATATAATCCGCTGCCTCCACAATC